TGGATTAAGGTAAGGTGGTGTGTAAGAATGATTGATTGATATTATTTAATTATATTGATAATATTGATGATGGTGGGGTTGAGTTTAAATTGAGTTAAAAAAAGTGGTTGAGTTAAAAATGTTTGAATTTTTTTGAAAAATTTTGTATCCAAACATGCTCGTAATTTTGTTCATATACTTTTAAATAAATATTACTTTTTCTAATTTTCTTTTTTTTTCACTTTTCTATCACATTTTTAGAATCAGACAAAAAGTTTATGGGAAAAATATATAAGACAAAAACTGAGAGCAAAATCTAGAGCTCCACAAAATTACAAGAATTTATTCAACATACAACAACTTCCACAGCTTCCAGTTACTACAACACACAAGGAAATTGAATCATGAACCAACCTTATAATTAGATAAAAATAAAACTATTATTGAGCATTAAAATATAATTAGAGAAAGACAAATTAAGCAGTAGTTAACAAACAACCTTACACCCTAAATTAAAAAAAAAAAAAAAAAAAAAAAAAAAAAAAAAAAAAAAAAAATATAAAACCTTACACCCTCAATTGTATTCCCAGCGAGGTTTTCGAGTTGCGGCTGTGGAGGACCAGGTTTGACGGTGGCAGATTGGTGGCATCTCGGAGAAAAGGAGTGAAGTCGGGGTGTGGCGGTGGCGCCGGTGGGTTTGGCGGCAGTGGAGGAGTGAAGTCAGGGTGCTCGTAGAGTCGCAGAGAAGATTAAGAATCATACCCCAATTCTCTAATTTAATTTACATTATAAACCAAAAATAAAAAATAAAAAATAAAAAATCAACACTTTAAGTTGGGCAAGACAACATGTGTTTGGGCCAGATAAAGGAGTTTCATTTTTAAATATTTAGGGCTTTTGTTGTTGGGTTGGTTCAAATTAATGGGTGGGCTACGGCTAAAATTATATGGGGCTACGAGACAAAACAATATAAGATGTAAACTAAAATTTTTTTTTTTATATGGGGCTGGAGCTCACCCTAGCCCATGGGTGGCTCCGCCCCTGCTTGACGCGCGTAGACCGGAGCTCCAAAACACACGTTCATCCATACTTAGCTTAACAGACCCGTTATCACAGTCACTTTCAAGCTTGAAAACACAACTGAAAAATGGATACACAAAATTACCGTTATCGCAGTCGCGCTTGTGTGCCACTTCAACAGATTGGAGAAGACGGCGGTTCTTCTTCAAGACGCGCCGGGCCGACTTTCCTTGCCGAGTGAGAAGAACTGTGTGTTGGGGCTAGGGTTATGAAAATTAATA